TGTGGTTATACGGCTTTTAAAAAGCTATGTTGACCTCTTCTACAAAAATTTTCCTATACATGAATTCATTTCTTGGTACTATAGTGTTTTCTTGGCAGTATTCAACATAGAGTTTATACATTTTTGATATTGCGAGATCAGAAGCTATGAAGCTGAGTATTTTTTTGCAGTTTGTTCTCTTGAATAATTTTTTGACTTTCTCACGAGGGAAACATCTCAATGTGTCATCTTATAATATTTTTTTCTTCTTCACTTATCTTTGGGTGATTTGCATGTTTTCCTCTCGCATCATCAAAACACATGCTTGAATTTGAAGTGCGTTTTTTTAACGATTATCCGAACTTTCTATTATCACGGGAGGACATGCTGTCTCAAACAATACGCAGCTGTGATACACAGGCTAGCAAAAAATGTCAAAAGAAACTGAAAACGTCATAATTACCCGCCAAGATGATTTCTTCAAAGGTGGGGGCCAATGTCGCACTAATATGTAAATAATAAACAAAAAAGGGCCAATGTTGACTTAGACCTTTTTATATATTATGTTCCACAGGTTTTTCGGCCTATATCTACATTGGCCTTTTTATCTGTAAAATAAAATGTTATTTGAATTTGAACATTGGCTTTACGTACTTTTGAAACGTGTTTGTCACTCTAAGCAGACATTGGCCCTTTTTACTGATGATAGTTCTCTTCAAATGTAGCTTGAGAATGCACTTAAGCCAAAATCACAGAGAATTGACATTGGCCCTTTTAGAACCAAGTCCCAGAATTAATATACCTATCTTTTTTCTACAAAACAGAGTTTTATTTGGGAAGAGAAAGCCTTTAAAATCCTACAAGTGTAATGGGATTTCATAGGTTATTCGTATGGTAAATATTCTGTAAGGAAGCACAGTTTCCAAAATCTTAATCTTATTTGCTTATTTAGGAAATTTATAAATATACAGGGTGTCCCAAAAAGATACCGACAAACTTTAAGGGGTAGTAAGGGACATCAAAACAAGCATTTTTGTTTATATAAACATATGTCCGCAAATGAGCCATTTGGGCTGTAGAGCAAAAAAACTGCTTCGTATTTTTATTCTTTGCAATAATTAAATCACTGTTTACTTATTAATTTTGCTTTATTAACTAATAAATTATGGTTTACAATAATTGTTCAAAATGTTGATAATTTACTTCAATGCAAATATTGCAACTTAATAAAAAACCGAGGAAAAAAGTCTTTAATTATTTGGATATGATTTTAATAGTTTTTTTGCTCTACAGCCCAAACGGCTCATTTGCGGATACATCTTTATATAAACAAAAATGCTTGTTTTGATGTCCCTTAATACCCCTTAAAGTTTGTCGGTATCTTTTTGGGACACCCTGTATATGCAACATAATGATATGTACATATGCGTTAAAAGAATCATTGTGTATTATGTAAGCACATAGCACAGGGATCTTATAAACTAAAAAAAAACGGGTAAGGTTGAATTAGAACAAAGTCGTATTTTTTGATGCCCATAACATATAATAATGGACATCAAAAAAAAAAATTGTCTAACTTCAACTCGTTTTTTTTTTTAAGTTTATAAGATCCCTGTTCTATGCGCTTTTATATAAAACACAGTGTATCAAATACTCATGGCAAGTCATTGATTATTTATATGAGCTATTTATTTACTTGCAACAATTTTTTCAAGTACTTACAACAAAAGTATCCGAGGTACACTTAATAATGCAAGAACTACTTTCATATTGATCACATAATTCAGTTAAGTATATACTCATTTGATTCAATTATAATTGTTTAGTTGTTCAGCAATGTCAATAACTTATCTGGAACATAGTATGCTTATACTAAGTTTTTATATTGTTGAACAACATTATTCCCATGGTTGAGTCAAGACACTGGGAAAGTGCTTCAACAACGTCGACTTTTAGTTCTCCAATTTTGAAATAATGATTAACTATTTATGTGCTCTTTTCAAGAAATTTGTATTTTAACCTACAAGTAAATTATGAAGTATATTCAAATCCACGTGTAGTCCGAATATATTAAACATATATTTACTTACCAGAACGTAAAAAAAAATTGATTCAACTATTCTTTTTTTCTGTGTAGTTGCTAGTATAAAGATGGGAATGTTTGTCGATAGTTTACGATGTCTGTGAACCCTCTTTGAAATACAGGTTGGCTTCTACCTAACCTAAGTTGTGCCATGTTTCTTTCAGGGATGATTTCTTCCAGAAAACATTTATCAAACAGTGCCTGTACAATTTGTTTCATGAAGGCTCTGCACATTTTTAACATTACGCGGGTTATTTTGTCCCCGGCACATGATTTTCTGGTTTTCATCTGTCTTAATGCAAGTATTTGGTCTTCGGTTCTATCCGGAATTACTACTGAGCCAGCATTGCAGATGCGGCCTACTGTCTGTGTATTAAGTACCGGCGTTAAAGCAGGCATACCGAAAGTTCCGGATTCGAGAACCTCAATGTTAGAGTTATCCTCAATTGCAGTTTCCATTGATCTGGTAATAGAGAACCTCACATTTTTTCTCATTTCCTTTGGGGCATTGTTTTCTTTTCTTTCATATGTTCGAGTGTGCTTCACATTAGCTTATTATCGCCTCTTGGTTTTTTGGCTCAGGAAAAAATAATAAATAAACAAATCTAATGTTGTACGATGCCATTGTATAGTTTGGTTGTAACTTTCCATGGTTTTCCTGGTATAGATATACTATATTTATTAACATTTTACCATAAGCATTCAGTCTTAAGCATCTTCAACAAATTAGACAAAATAGGTATGTAATTTGTTATCAGTTATTGTAAAAACAATTATAATAATAATAATAATATGCTGCAAGACTCGTCCATGGCCCTTGGTGCTTGCGATATTGTAATTCTAGAGTAGAAATATTGTTAGGTACACTTTAATGCTTATGCAATATTAATTGCAAAAATTTAAAAACCCTTAGAAGTTTGTTTCTTAGAAATTTTCCAAATTAGATATTTCAGTTAATTATATTCGTTATAGAAACCAGAAACCATCCCAACGAAAATTAGAATGATGCAAATATTATAATTATGTTTCATAGGTAGGTACCTACCTGTTCAGACAACCATTTAGTTAATTATTATTGTATCATAATTATAAATAATACTTCCATTTATTTAAATTTTACCAATAACATAATTGATTTTTATGGAATTCCATTAGGCCATCAAATATATGTATTTATGGGTTGAACGGCACTTTGCTAATATTTAATTTTGAAACTAGTAGAGTGGCAGTTTCACTAGGTATATTTACAACAATTATTGAAAATCATTAACTATAATAAATAATGCCACAATGTGAATAACATACCTATATTTTGTTGCGTTTGATAGACAATTGATCAATGATAAATACTTTCTTCGCTTTGAACCGCGTTTCAATTGATCTGTTTCTTCGAAATATGCTGTAGGTAGGTAGGTACCTATTTCCACCTTATATCACTATATAAATGTTACTTTTTCAATACGGAAAACGTAATCTATAGATCTGAATTTCCAATTAGAGGTTATAGCGGTGCTGCGAGACGAGACTAGACGAGACTTAGGGTTGGTCTCGTCTCGTCTCGACATCTCGAGACGAGACCGTGATTTAGTCTCGGTCTCGAGTACCAAAGTCTCGTCTCGTCTCGTCTCGAGTGGTCTCGTCTGGTCTCGAGTTATACAGGGTGTCCAAAAAATAGCGTAAAAACTCTTCTCTACGTGGTGGAGGACCCTACAAGGAACCCCAGAAAAATACTTTAAAAAATCTAGTGGCATTCTTAAGAAAGTTATTTGTATTTTGATATTTATTGAAATTGGCAACACTGAAAATATCCCGTTGACAATATGTCAGAGAATTAAATTAAATACCCATGTGACTACCTGAAGAATTCGAAGGTGAATTTTCACATCTACCTTCATATTACCAAGAATAATGCTGCAGAAGGATTTTTTTTTTATTTATTATTTAATTATTTTTCTAGGGTTTCTCAAAGGGTCCTCTACTACGTGGAGAGTTTTTACGCTATTTTTCGGACACTCTATATTTATGGTTTTTGTTTTTATATTATTACGGAAGTCCAAACTGCCACACTGAAAAAGCAATTAGTGAAAAATCACAGTAAAGAGTAACCCTGATATTTAATTTACTGATTTCATATTCAAATAGCCCAGAATAGTCCAATAATAAAGCTACGAAAGACTTCACGAGACGAGACCAAAACCCAGTCTCGTCTCAAAAAGTCGAGACGAGACGAGACGAGACCAGTCTCGAGTCTCGCGGCATCACTATTAGAGGCTATTGAGTACCTACAAGTTCATGGTCTTGGTTTTGATTTTGCTTTGGTTTAGTTAGTTGAAGAATTCAATTAATTGTTAGGTATCTAACAGCTCCCCGAAAAAAAAAAAAATATGTGAATTGTATTTGTTATCACAAACCGTTTCTGAGAAAAAAGAAAAAGTTGTGCACCACTTGCCTCACATTGTTTATAAACTGAAAAGTTTTTCAAAGGGCTTCGAGTACATCGAAAATTATCGGTGGGTGGGGCTCATTTTTCAATGATCAGGCTGGCAATTAATGTATACCTTAAACTTACCAAAATGTCTGGAAGATATTTCACCAACTTCCCGGCCAGGACGAAAAACCTCTACTGCATCTAGAGAGTTTTATTAAAAACCGATTCTTGAAATCTAGGAGTCACCGAAAGTCAAACGGAAACTCTTCGAAATTGCGATTATTTAAGCAAACTTTCTAAGAAAAGAAATGGAATTCTTGATTTTGCAAAGCAGGAACCATCCACTAAGTTTCATTGAAAATTATTATTGTTTTCGAACGAGAAAGTTCTATGCTATCATGAATTTGTGTGGAAAGTGTGGCCTAATAAGTTTAAAGTTGTAGTCATAGTAGCAGGACATTTTTTTGGTTAAGGTACGTCTACAAACAAAAAATAACTGATTTAACTTACCTTTTGCTAGTTTGTATATAGGTCTCAAGCTCCAAAAAATAAAAAGAATTGTCGCGATAATTGCCACAAATTTCTAGTGACAAAAAAAATTGAAAAGGTTGGCCATAGAGTTTTAAACCGATATGATTCAAAAATGTAGGAAGGAAACAAAAAAGTTTGTAGATTTCCAAAATTTCATGATGCCGTAACATGTTTCAGCACACGGTCTCTCCTTCCGTCTTTACGACTTCCGATTCCCGATCTCCAAACATCTGCGTCAAACAAGGCATACCCCTCCAAACCTTAGTCTCTCATTTTTCGTCTAGACAACTTCTCCAGCTTTTTCTAGGTATGCCGCGTCTTCTGCTTCCCCCGGCTTCCACCCAATGATTGCTTGGATATTCTCGTACCTACCATTCTTTGTACAGGAAAAAACCTAGTGTTAAAAAAACCCAATCAAATGACACGGATACAGGACTGTAAAAATTAAAGATTACCTACCAAGCAAAGAAATGGATCTTTGGTAGAGGGAGCCTAGAAGAAATTAACTACTCCAAAAGGGAACAAATTTATGCACGAAGTTAGTAGCGCTAGATTGGAAATAGACGTAGCAGTACTAATACTTACTAACATTAACGAAGGAAGAATAAGGAAATGATCCAAAGACCGAGCCAACGTACCCACTCTTCGAACATCCCACGGTGTTATTCCAAAAAGTGTCTAAATCAGACTAAAATTCCCGAAGATTGGAATACATGTTCATCATATTTACGGAGGGTGACGTGAAGGCTGAAGTCCAAATGTGAAAATTAACGTTTAACAAGTTCGACGAATAGAGTCCTGAATATATTGATAATATGAACCTTATCGATACCGCTTTTTCGGATCAGCGCTCGCAGAATTTGCGTACCTATTAGAAAAGAATTAATTTCAGTAGTGGACTGTATATTGAAAAAGACTCGACTTGTTTTATTATCTTTGAACTTGTTACAAAAACAAAACTTATCGTTATGACAATATTGAAACAAAACAATTTCAAAGCTAGAGTAGGTACCAAAAAAGGTTCAACTAGTCATTGCTACTTTGTGATGAATTGTATGTCAACTTTGTTTGATTGAATTTAAATAAATCCCAACATGGCCCCCAGCTTTGAAAGGAATCTTTCAAATTGAATAAAACTAAAAAACTTAAATTAATTGCATGAGTTCAATGCCAGTATCGAAACATCAATTGCATCGCTAAACCTAAAATTAGTCAATTGGAAGCGGTGCTAATTTTACCACTACGCGTTTAATCACACTGTTCGCAGTTTTTATGGGCGCTACGTGGACAATTCCATCAGTTCCTAGATGAATGTCACCGATGCGCTCAAGAGGCCATTTATACGGAGGCAAATCATTGTTATGAATTAACACAATTTCACCAACCGAAAAATTTCTCCATATTTGTCGCTGTTGCAATTGAGTAACATATTCGTTGCAGCACCTTTTCCAGAACAGTTGCTTTATTTTTTCTAATTATGCTTAGATAGGGTGCATATAAGATTAGGGTAAGGAAGTGATACTGACGCACGACTTATTAACAAAAGAGACGGCGTAAGCACAGTTAAATCGTTCGGATCGGCAGACATCGGCGTCAAAGGTCTAGAATTTAATAAACTTGCTATTTGTGAAATGATGGTGTAGAAACTTTCAAATGTAAAAATACCTGGCGAAAATGTCATCACTTATTTGGCCAATTTTGTGATCCCAGATTGGGAAATCAAAGCAACGAAGAATAAGATGAAATCAATGTTATTGGTTATATTTAGTTGGACATCGGAAAACTTCTTTCTTGCAGAGAAGTAGAACAGGCTGTTCGAGTACTTACCTAAATTCAGTGCCACTGCCAGCAGGTATTTGAGAAAAAGATTTTTTTAAACCTTATGCGATAAGACTAAATCACTACTTAAATCCCACAGACCCACAAAGAAGGTTAAATTTTTGCCATTGGCATCTTGAAAAATATCACTTAAATGGTCCTTCAACCTTTCAACAATTAATGGCATTTTTAATCGTCATAATAACTACCGCTGGGCTTCACAAAATCCACATGCTAACGCTTTTATTAATAATCAAGGAAAACTTAGGTTTAATGTGTGGTTGGGACACAATTATTGGACCAGTAATTTATGGAGATAACTTGCAGAAAGATATGTTTCTGGACGAACTTGATGCTACGCTAGAGTCTCAGAGAATTACTACCAATTTGGCAATAAAGGGATGGGTAAGCGCATTTTTCGAAAACATGAACGGTTATTGGAATATTCAAAAATTGCTTTGTTGTCCAGTTTGAAAGGAAACTAAACAAATTTGTTGGATACCAATACCGAAATACACTGTTCAATTTATAGTTTCGATCACTGTTGCTGTTGAAAGTTCGAAAGGTAACCATGTTTCATCTTTAAAAACTGTAACGGCTACAAGAAATTAGCAAAAATCCGTTTTCAATTCAAAACCATTACTCACCTATATGATTTTGGTTTATTACAGTTTTGTACTACTTAAAAAGCACGTCTTATTGTTTTATAATGTTTCATATAAATTTCTATTAGCATTAGTAGTATGCAGAATGAACCTAAAATCGAAACCTTTAAATTTTTTAACCGTAACCAATTAATCTGTTATTTTTTTCTGTTAGGGACTCATAGACCCATACCGTGGCCAGCGCAGCCACCAGATACGTCAGCCCTCGATTTGTTTTCGTGAGGATTCCTTAAATATATAATTCTTCAAGTGAGAAGCCAGAATCTGCAAGAGCTTCAGGAGGAACTTGTCCATTTAGCTTTCACATAAGGATCCACGTGCGGAATGCAAGGAATGCAGTTAGAAAATGCAATGTTTGCATTGAAAATCGCGGCTGTCAATTTGAATTTTTTTTATAGTTAGTTTTCATCGTTTCCATTTATGTTTTCGTTGGTTTTTCAAATTTGTTACTAGTTACAGTTTGTTGATGGTAATACATTTTTTTTTGGTTAGTTATAGGGGTTTTGTGTTTAAAATCAATTTGTTTTTAAGAAGATTACAAAATATTATCAAAAATCAATGACAAATACACCCTATTGTAATAATTCTAAATCTCCGCGGATTTCACTAAATCAAATGCTATATTATTGTCAAAATAATAATTTAGACTATTAAATTCAGTTACCGAGCATTAGTAAGATATTTAATTATTTCTTTTATGATATTTGCTGTACCGATTAATCCGAAAGGACATCAGTTTTCCTTATACTAAGAAATTATTTTTTCTTGACGTTAAAGCAGAGGTATACTTAACTATATAAGTGGCATACCTATATCGTTGAAATGAGAAAAAATATATGATTCAAAAAACTATTATTTTACAGGGTGTCCCATATCAAAAAAATTATAGGTTTGTCACATATTAAACCAGAAAATAAAACCAATTAGTTAATGTGATTTCCAGAATTATTATGGAAAGTTTTAAATACCATAACAAAATTGGTGAATTTCAAATGAATATAAACAAATTATATATCATTGCAAAGGTAATTTTATGCGTATTTGAAAAATGGAAAAATTTACAGGGTGTCCCATTTGAAAAAAATGAAGTTTGTGTCATATCTCTTGAACGGTACCTCGGAAAGAAAAATCCAGTACGCCAATAAAATTTACGTAAAAAACTGCGTCAGTTATAATTTTCATCTTTTTGATATATCTTTTCTTACGCGAGGAGATAATGGCAACCCTCGAAAAGTGGAAATTTCAAGTTTCACCGTGTAACTCCAAAACGGTACAAGATAGAGAGTTGCGGTTTGCAGCATTCGATCAGTCATAAAAAATTGGCCCAGGAATGTAAAATCAAAAAAAGTCTACCTCTGCGAGTTTAGCAGATAACCTCCAATACCATCTTAAATGGGACACCCTGTACAGGGTGTCCGAATTTGGATGGTTTTAATAGAAAACGTCAATTTCTGAGCAAGATACAACAAAATGAACCCCCCACTCCGAGGCTCAGATTTCGTGAAATTTTGATTGGCGCAAACCGCATTTTGATATCTTCAACCGTTTAGCCGCTAGAGGGCGATTATCGATTTTGAGTAATACTGTGAAATCTTCATAACTTTTTTGTTTATGAAAATAACTGATTTCCGTAAAAACTTCCTAGAAGCACTTTTTTGAGCAGAATTCAGTGACGTTTTCAGTTTTTTTCTATTGGGCCTCGGTTTCAGAATATTGACCAAAATCCGATTTTTTTTAATGGGACACCCTATACATATATTAATAGCTCTTTAGAAAGCTCTGCAGATGCTGATTTCAATGATACAAATTTCGATGGGTTTATCTCTAACAGTTTTCCAGAAAAAAAATTATTTTGGTTTTTGTCATAAGAAACAATGAGTTAGAAAGAGACCTTTCTCATTTTCCTTACAAATATAAAGACCTGTTTCAACACATTGTTTCTTATGGAATAAAACGAAAAAATCTTTTTTTTCGAAAACTGTTAGAGATAAACCTATCGAAATTTATATCGTTGAAATCAGGAAAAGCAAAGCTTTTAACAGAGCTATTAATATATAGGGTGTCCCAATGAAAAAAATCGGATTTTGGTCAATATTTTGAAATCGAGGCCAAATAGAAAAAAAACTGAAAACGTCACTGAATTCTGCTTGAAAAAGTGCCTTTAGGAAGTTTTTACGGAAATCAGTTATTTTTATAAACAAAAAAGTTATGAAGATTTCACAGTATTGCTGAAAATCGAGAATCGCCCTCTAGCGGCTAAACGGTTGCAGATATCAAAATGCGGTTTGCACCAATCAAAATTTCAAGTAATTTGAGACTCGGAGTGGCGGGTTCATTTTTTTGTATCTCGCTCAGAAATTAACGTTTCCTATTAAAACCATCCAAATTCGGACACCCTGTACATGGACGATTTTAGAAACATCTACTGTGCGTAGATACACACAAGCTCAATTCGAACCAGACTTTTGCAAGGTAATTGTCTTAAAATTTGAATTTTCTTATGTGGAAACGAGAGCCACATATTTGAAAGTTCAGAGGGTACTTCTTCATCCCATGATAACTTAAGCAGCCATGATTTTCGCAAGACGATTTTTGCACGAATTATTACTGGAGCTAATAAACCGAGAGGAACAAAGATTCTAGCAATGTCTGAAAGAATTACCCTTTTGGTTACCTTTTTCGTATAGATGAAAGTAAGTCAATATAGTAGGACAACAAATCATCTCGACCAGACCATAGCATCCCTTTTACTCGCTTCGGATGAGCCCAAATAAAATTTATCCTCAGATATATTTGATTATTTAATTTGATTTAGAAGATCTGAACTATTTGACTTTCACTTTCTTAACTGAAAGCCTGCGGTTGCAAAAATCAAATTGACCTGTTGGCATAAGTCAACAGCTTTTTCAAGGGAATTTGCACCAGATAAAAGATCGTCAACGTAGAAATCCCGCTTAATAACATTGGATGCCTAAAGGCCGTTTTACAGCTTGCAAGAAAACATTCAAGATATCTTGCACGTCGTATTACACCTTGCAATTTGACTGGTTTCCTTCTCTAACCTTAACCATACTTTTTTGTTTTTAATGTTGTGTTGTTAATGTTTTCCAATAATGAAAAAAGTGATTATAAGTCGATATAGAAAGAAGAAAGCAATAGCAGCCA